GGTCAGCCATTCAGAACTACCAGCCACTCCCAGGGAGGAAGATGAGGCTTTCTACTCCCTTAAAGATTTACAGCCTCAGAAACACACAGGGGCAGTTCTACTCTGTCCTATAGGGTTGCCATCAGTCAGAATGTGCCTTACATTAAAGAAAACAAACAAAACTCTTACATTCCTGAGTATAAAGAAGGACTATTTACTGAGTCTGTATACTTTAGATAATATCATCTCATTCAAATTTTAATGCTTGTTTTCTTTATTTTACAGATTAAGAAATTTGTTTTTGCTTATCTACTATAACGATTTTAAACTCTGGCAATTTTTAAAATCTAATATAAACAATAGGATACTTGTGTATGTTTGAATGGCAAAACCACATTCTTTTGTTGTGAACCCGTTACTCCTAGTAACTAAAGACTGACTGACTCACAGTATTCTGACTGCAATGGAATGTGGGCCTGTCCTGGAATGAAGATACTGCTAGTTGGTTCTGAGAGTGAGGTTTTTTAGTAAAGGGGAAGACACAGGAATATGTGTAGCAAATATGATCGAGTTTGTTTTAAAAGCTCTGTTAGAGCAGACTTTTGTTTAGAGGATGAACAAAGGTGTGTGTTTTGGTATTTGCTTATCAACTGCTCTTTGTGGCACAGCATTTAAATTTAGTGCCACCTCTTTTAATGAGCTTTTAATTAGCTGTCTTTTCTAAGAAGCGTAGAGAAGTTGTGCCTCCTGTGAAATGGATCACGCTCTTTTGCATAACCACAAAGCCCCTGCCCTCTAGGTAATTCCAACTCCAAGCAGGCCAGAACTGCCCCTCCCAGGCTGTCATCTCTGCAGGAGCATATCGCCTAATCCTCCTGGGAAGGTTTGAACCACCGACCTTGCAATATACAGTCAGGACTTCTTTTCTTTTGCATACTCAGGTATTTTTATACTCAGGCATGTTTTTGTTTTTAAAGCTATTAGTCTATTTTAGTTAAGGAATTGAAAAGTAGATGAAACAATATAATGCCCAGTCTGCCAAAACAAACCATTAAAAAAACTCACCAACAACCAGCCTCTTCTGAATCATAGTGAGCCTTCTACTCAGTTATAGTGAATGAGTAGAACTGTGCATTAGGGTTATCGAAGGCTATGCCCTGTCTAGAAGCCTGGTGCCACATCTTTTCCTACTGCAGAGCAACTGGTGGGTTCAAACTGCTGACCTTTTGAGTTAGCAACCAGACCCCTAACCACCATGCCACGGGGTTCTTTAGCCAGCAGTGGTTACTGCATCTGCGTTTGCAGGGGCGTTGTGTACATTCCCAGCCAATCATCTGCAACACAGGCTTAGGTTGTACATTTGAAAGAGAGCAAATTATAGCTCTCAGGCAAAGATGTGTTAGTCTGCTGCCTTACGGATGGCAGGCCTAGAAACCCTGTGAGCCCGTTCAGATCTGCCCCACTGGATAGCAATGTGCTGTTTGGTGTTTGAATGTTCACACGAATTCACATAGGAATGCCCAGGGACTGGCGATTTTAAAAAGGAGAATTCAAAATTTTAGAGACTGGCTAAGATTTCAACTTAAAAGCATTTCACTTTATTTAAATCAAACATAAGATTTGTTTATTTTTATTCTCTTAGGAAATGGTTTATCTTTTTCAAAAGCCCAATATATCGGTATTTTAGTATTGTTTATCACCATCCAAATTTTAGTGGCTGTAATCACTGATTATTATTTTTTGTTGTCATTAAAGTACATACAGCAAAATACACACCAATGTACACTTTCTACATGTAGAATTCAGTGATACTGATTGTATTAATATCTGATTATGCAACAATCTCAGCTATCCTTTTCCATATTACCATTAACATAAACTCAGTGGTCTCTAAGTACAAATGTCCTTCTCCCCCTGCCCTACCACTGATAATCACTATAATCTTTGGTTTCTACATATTTGCTTATTTCATATAAGTGAGGTCATATAGTATTTTGCCTTTTGTGACTGATTTATTTTCCTTGGCATAATTTCTCAAGGTTCATCCCATCTTTGTTGTGGCATGCATTGTGACTTCATTCCTCTCCGTTGGCTGAGTCATATGTCATTGTTTGTGTGGACTGAACTTTGTTCGTGCCCTCATCTATTGACGGACATTTCTGTTCTTTCCACCTTTGACTGGTGTACGAGGCTCTGGTATACAGGTTGGTTTGTATTCCTGCCATCTCTTCTTCTGGGTATAAAAGATATACCTAGGAGCGATGGGGGACTTGGTTTCCAACTATGGCGACAAAGCCAATTTACAATGAAGTAAGTCACATGAATATATTGGTTTTCCGGTGTATATGAAAACTACGATTATATTATATTGTAGTCTGTTAAAGAATGCAGTAGCGTTATGTGCAAGTTGGAAATATTGCGTGAATTGCAAAAATGTGACACAGATTCAAAATGAACCCATGCTGCTGTAAAAATGCCACCGGCAGACTTGCTCAATGCAGGGTCCTGTACCTTCCGTTTGTAAAGCACAATGTCTGTAAAGTACACCAGACTGCAGAACACAGTGAAATAGGTGTGCTTGTACTCACCTAGGAGTGGAATTGCAGGGTCTTAGGGGTTATGCTTTGTGCTGCTAACTGTAAGGTCAGCAGTTCGGATCCACCAGTTCCTTTGTGGCCGATAAACACGTGGGGTTAATTGAGGGGCAGAGAGATATATGGCTCCGTAAGCCTTGCCCTTTGAGTTCTCGCATCTCTTGCTCTCCGATGGTCGGACCAGGGTGTATCTGCCTTAGCCAGTTCCCTGCTTCAGCTGGCAAGGCTCACTTCCTACGAGACATCCCTGAAGAGAAGTTACATGAACCTACCCTGAGACAGCCCTGGGTGCTGAAGCAGCCTCGTGGAGACCCCAGCCAGCGCTGAGAGGCTTTCCTCCTGCAGTCAGCGTCATTGCCTGTGTTTTGTGAGATTGAGGGGGACTTTGTAGATTGGTGTCGGACATAGGGGCTAATGTCAGATTTATGGGCGTGGACAGCACTGGATTGGGATGCTTTTTTAATGTACACTTACCCTTTATATAACACTTTCTCTTATATACATATGATTTTCTGTGGATTTGTTTCTCTAATGTACCCAGATTAACACACTCTGCAAGAGAAAGATGAGGTTTTGTTGCCTCTGTGAAGATTTATAGTCTTGGAAACTCAGCGGAAGTTGTCCTCTGACCTTTAGGGTCACTATGAGTCAGAATTGATTCAAACGCAGTGGTGGATGATAAGTCTATGTTAAAAAAAATCTTAATTTTAAGTACTCTGTTGTGTTTTACTCACTGCCATCAAATCAATTCTGACTAACAAATTAGATTCCTATTCAGTAACTCATTTACAAATTGTTCTGGGGAATTGAGTACGATCCCTGTAATGTGTTGGCAATTTCACCGATTTTGCTCCACCCTCCCATCCGTCCAGGTCTCCTGCCCCTCCTCACCATGCCAACTTTGCTTGTGTCAGTGTTGACCCTTCGGTCCTGTGTAGTCGAAAGTTTAAAGCAGCACACTCCACAGGTGTGATTGTTTACTTTATAGGCCAGTTTATTATATTACTTGCTTGAAAGGTTACCTCCAGGCCTGGCATCAGGTCCAGGCTGTAAGGGTGGAGTGAGTCTCAGAACTTCTCTAGACTTCAGATCCCAAACTTATTTGGCCTACTGCCCCTTTTCAGAAAAAAATAGTAAACGGTTGCCCCTACCCCCTGCCCCAGCAATTAAAACCTTTTGTACTATAGAGCACAATTTCAAGATAAAGTATAGGTTTCTGCTTTTACAGCCTCCTTGGATCACTCCAGCACACTCTCAGGGGATGATATTGCCTACTTTGGGAAACAGTGATTTAGTGAGTCAACACTTTGTTTGGGGCTCAGCTGAACTGTTCTTCCGCTGGCCTCCCTTGTGATTATGGAGGGATCTTCATTGACCTGGCAGATTATCTGTGCTTAGATGATCTGTGATGGCCTTAGTTGCCTACCTTGGGGTTGTTGCTGCTGCCAGCTGGGCCAGGAGGCTGGCCTTGTGCTGCTTCTCATGGTGGCAGCATTCCAAAAGTGGATGCACGAATGTGCTAGACCTCTTGAAGTCTAGGATTGGAAGTCACCCAGTTTCACGTGAACTTTGCCACATTTTACAGGTAAACGCAAAATCACAAGTCCAGCCTAGATTCAAGGGTGGACAAATAGATTCCATTTTAATGGGAAAAGCAGCAAGAACTTCTGGTCATTTCATTTTCAACAACGAGCTTGATGCATTTTATTCTCCTTTGAATACTCACATTGGGACTGTAATAATTTCGATGCTAGCATACTCATTTGGTATTGTGGTAGTCACCTAATCTGGTGTCAATTTAAGGATTAAGAGTGTAGGGGTGGAGTCTAGGCTGGAGATAGCCAATGAAAATTCTATGTGGGCCTGGCCTTCTCCTGAGAAATCTGGGAAATCTGGTACTTCCTCCTCGGAGGCGGAGGACACCTGTCTTTCTCTGCTACTCCCTGGGAGACATTGCAGAAGACAAGTCACATGGATGCAACCAGACCTCGGAAGCCGGAGAAGCCACAGAGAGACCCCTGCCAGCACTGAGATGCTTACAACGCCACTGGACCCAAAGTTTCTACCCGCTGGCTTGTGATCGTCCTGCATTTGGCTTCATTGCATGTGTTTTGTGAGTCTGAAGAGGACTTTCTAGATTGGTATCGGACAAATGGCTTATATCAAACGTATGGCCTTGGACTGGGCTGGTTGGGATGTTTTCTCAATTCCTCTTGTATATAAACCTCTCCCTTATACACATATGCGTATTTATGAATTTGTTTCTCTAGTCTACCCAGACTAACACAGGTATGTCTTGGTTTAATTTCTTGACATTTCATATTTGAGATGTATTTAACTCTACACAAGGTTTGATGATTTTAGATGATACTGGTGATTTTGCAAACCTTTGACTACATTTGTGTTTTGATGCTCCCATACATTCAGAAACTGCTTGAACGAACCCGTGCCCGGCGAGAGAATCTTCAGAGGAAAATGGCCGAGAGGCCCACGCCCGCAGCGCGGTCTGTGTATTCCAAGCGAAGTCGAGAGCCACTGTCGGAAGCAAGCAACCAGCCCCCACTGTCTGCTGGTGCAGGTAAAAGACCCTGCAGGGGAAAGTGAAAACCTTGAGAGATGCTAAAACCCCAGACATTTTGTTACGCGGATAAAAGAACCAAGGTAGCTTGAGAAATAAATGTTAAAGGCTCTGGGGGAAAGGCCAGCAGTTTATTTCAGGGTCATTATATAGTGAAAAGGAGCCCTGGTGGCATAGAGGTTAAAGTCCTCACTTTTAGCCCAAAGGTTGGCAGTTTGAATCCCCTTGCTGCTCTGTGGGAGAAAGATGGGCCTGTCTCTGCAGAGACGACAGCCTTGGCATCCCTCTGGGGCAATTCCAGCTGCACCTATGTGGCTGCTATGAGTTGGAATAGAGTCTGGTAGTAATCAGATTTTGTATACACACACACAATATGCGTATATAATAAGTATATAACATCTAGTGTGTATATATACATTTATATTTACATATAAATTTTAGGTTTATAAATGCATGTATGTAGATATATGTATGTCGACCTAATGCATATCTGGCCAGTACAAAGTTTCTTCTAGAAAACACAAAGGGGCTTCAAAAAGTTCATGGACGTTTATTTTAATTTCAAATTCAATTTCCCCATGGCCCTTTGGAAGCCTCTTCCTATTTCATATGAATTGATTGATGAGACTTTATTTTCAAATCTTATCTTTCACACACCTGCGAGAAGAAGAACAAAGGCGCAGGGTACACTGTGCGCTGCTAGTTTAGTGTGTGAATGGCTGACCACCAAGGTCAGGCAGAGCTCCTGGCATGAGCTGAGCAACAATAGGCCAGACATGCTGGTAAGGACTTGATATCTATGAGCCATTTTCATCCTCTATCTGCTGGACCAGCTTTTGAGGTCTGGAGGGGAAAATTGGGTTATTAATCTGTAGAGCTGGAGCGGGGAAGGAGGGGAAAAATGAGGAGCTGATATCAGGGGCTTAGGTGGAGAGCAAATGTTTTGAGAATGATGAGGGCAATGAATGTACAAATGTGCTTTATACAATTGATGTATGTATGGATTGTGATAAGAGTTGTGTGAGCCCCTAATAAAACGATTAAAAAAAAAATCTATAGAGTGATGGATTTAGAAGTTCACACACACATGCACAAACCAACAGTCCCAAGCTGCCCTGGCGTCTGCTCGTTCCTTCCTATCCCTTCCATCTCAGCCAGCGTGGTCCCTTTAAAGCTGTCCTCCTGGAGTGTGGGGTAGACCGGAGATGATGTCTCTTGGTACAACAGAAAAATACTTACATATTTAAAGAGGTCAAGGAGTGTTACAGAAAAGCAGAGAAAAGGGCGTGGGATTGGCTGACCATCATTTTTGGAGTTAACCACAGAAAGAGAATATATTTTCTATATTTGTACATTTTGAAGAAGAACAGGAAATAACATTACACATTTGGTATTCACACAGGGAAGCAGAGGCCTGCCTTGAGTTCAGGAGCCTCTCCAATTTCCACTGTGACACAGGCATATACAATCAAGCATCGAGTACTAAGTACTTGAAAACTAGGGTTGTGACTATGTCGTGATGCTTATATAGAACTATTTATTGTTTTTAAAGAAACCGCAAGCTGCTTATTCTAGTGTATATACATGCTTTATTTCTTATTGTCTTGGGAAGATTTGACATAAGTTCACACATGTTATACACACTTCTCGAAACGTTGTTTGAAGTTATTTCCATTCATACTTTTGAAATCTATAGATCACCATGTTTCCTTAAAAGGGAATCTTGGTTACCAGAGTTCTAAGTTACTTGAAAGAAAGTAAGATTTGACATATTTTATTGTTGTAATTAAGGTTATAGAAAGGAATAAAGAAACATGTTGGCAAAGTTTGATTGCTTCTTTAAGTATCTGCTGTGAATTTTTCATGGATGCCGTGAGATAGAGCTTTTGAATGTCTTTTTATTTGGTGTATCTTTTCAATTTAGAGAAATCTTGTATCAAACTGTTACCAACAAAGAAACGCTGTTCTGGTAACACTGCAGAAGCAGTTTCTAACTCGGAAAATAAACAGCCAGTTGAGTCGGTTTCTGCAGCACCTTGTTCTCCAAGCCCTCCTCCACGTCAGGGGCAGCCCCAGGCAGCAGCTGCTGATGGTGATTCGGTGCCTGGGACTTCACAGCTGAACTCCAGACCGGAAGGGACTGCAGCTTCTTCCGTTAAAACGCGCATGCAGAGACTGGCTGAACAGAGACGCCATTGGGAGAACACTGACCTGACAGGTATAAATTCTAGGGATACGAAGGGCCATTACTCAGTGTTATTAAGAGTCTACTTGGTTTATTGAAATTTTTGTTTATCAGTTAATACATGAGAGGCTAATGATGTTTCCCCCCTATGTCCTGAGTCACCTGTTTGCAAATGGTTTTTTATTATCATAAGTATATTTATAAATTGGTTGTGTTTCTATTGAAGTAGATGATGATGAGTTTTCTGTACTTGTTCACAAAGGCCTGATCCTATAACATTTTCAATAAAAAACAGTAAAGATCAAAGTAGATTCTTAGCATTCCTAGCACGCTGACCCTCAGCTATATAGTCAAGAGTTTCTAGCCCATGCATTCTTAAATAAGGTTATGCCCGAGGGGAATGCATTGGGCTGCTAACCACCAGGTCAGCAGTTTAAATTCACCAGCTGTTCCTCAAGAGAAAGCTGAGACTTTCTACTCCAGTAAACCACAGGGACCGTTTTCCCCTGCCATACAGGATTGCGCTGAATTGGAATTGCCTTGAGGGCGGTGTGTTTGAGAAAGTAATGCTGTTTGATAGGGAGAAAGAAGATGTCAAAAACAAGCAAACAGTTATTTGCACCTTCAGAGTTTGTCATTTTGTTACAATGGTGGGGAATGGTTGAAATGGCCTGAGAAGGCTCTCCGGAGAAGTAAATCAATGATTTACAGCAGACTCATTTGTGGCAGGATGGATTGTACTCATCTCCTGCCTTATTGCATTAAAACCTGGGACCTACCTTGAACAAGTGGATTCAAACTCACAGCAACCCGAGGATTCTGAGACTGAGAGCTATAGGGACGCAGACAACCCGACTGGGCAGTTAGATGGCTGGCCTTACAGTTCACTGCCCATTGTCTAACCACACACCTATCTTACAAAACAAGGGAGTGAGGGTGAAGAGAAAGTAAAAGAAGAAAAGCACAGCTTTAAGGGTAAAGTTAGCTTATTAAATATAGTCACTTGCTAGAGATGGTTCCGAAGTTCCTAGCAGTCTATGCAAACAGGTGTTCTATCTCATGGTCTACCTGCCTGCGTCCCTGGTCTTCGCCTGAGAATAACAATGGGAGTTTTTAAGCAGAAAATCGGCGAGATTTGCCTGTATGGACCTTTTCTTTTTTCTTAATGTGTTTAGTGACAAATCTTGATCTGCTTCTTGATCTCCTTATGGACTTTAAGCAAAGCTTTCAAAGTTTATCCATGCTTCCAAGCAGCCGAAGTCCTGACTCAGTTTAGAAAAAAAACTCCAGCTAATCCTTTTCATGGAGGAACTCTGCATCTTTCCTTCCTCTTCCTCATTCTTCAACATTTCTGTCATCTTAAGGATCCAGTAAGCCCTCATCTGTCAATTTCTTTTCTTCATGAGCCGTCCCCTATTTTAAATTCCAAATATTTGCCATGTGGATGATTTTTCTGCCTGTCTCCTTCCTCATATTATCCTGTTTTCTTACTTAGCTTGTTCACATAACTCAGCCTTTTTTTTTTCTAAAGTCCCCAAATGCATTTTTCCATAACTTCCTCCCAGGAAATGGTCCAGATACACTGAAGAATAGATTAGTTCTTTGAGCTATCATGTGAGGTTGCTGTCTCTCCACCTATGCAGCTAAAGCAGACCAGGGGTGCTATACAGGTGACAATTGTACCTGATCCACAGACTGAATCACAGTGTTGTTGGGAGGTAGATACAACACTTTCACATATTCATTTTGTTTTAAAATATTAACATTTTATGTATTTCGTTGTTGAGAATACACACTTATTCAACAGCTTCTCCGTGTATCATTTATTGACATTGATTACATTCTTCAAGTAGTGCAACCATGTTCGCCTTCCGCTTCTGAGTTAAGTCCTTCCCCCTATGAACAATTTATCGTGCCTAATGTTCCTATATAATCTGCCAAGTTGCTGTCGTCAACTTGAGGCCATATATGAGAGTAAGTCAAAAAGTATTGCTGCTAGGCACGCACAGGATCATCATGGGGGCTTATTAGGAAGATCTTTTAAGAAAACGGAAAACTTCATCGGCAAGACAAGTGCCAAGAAAGTTGCTACGGATTTTTTGCCCCCATCACATAAAGGGCTGTGCTGTGAGAATTTTTGTGGGAAACATTACCCCCTCACCTCACAGCACTGGTCTTGCTCTATCAGGCTTCTCTTTTGTTCCCCAGGCTCAAGAACACCGTCCTTGTTCAGAGGTACCCAATTAGCGTGCCCTGAGGACTCCGGAACTGCCGCTCTGCTGTGGAGCACATTGCAGGGCGCACATTCTTCAGAGAGAGCTTAGTATAAATTTTGGTGAAGAATATGTCAAGGAAGCGTGCCTTGACATTTTCGTGTTTTTGTTTAATAAAGTGTCCTGTGGATTTGGAGCAATGCTTGTTGGCATACCCACCTGGTTGATAGGGAAAAGTACTTGCTGCTCCAGGAGACACGCTTTATTAGTTCAGCTAGACTGTTCCTTAGTTTTCAGAAGGCGTAACAGTCATCTCAGGGCAATAGTTTCAGAGGCTCACGTAATCTTCATTGCTCCAGGAAGCCTGCGAGTCTATGAGGGTCTTAAATTCTCGTCTGTACCTTTTCTCGTATGATCAGGATTCTTCTGTGGGATCTTTGATCAACATGCTCAGTAATGGTCCCTGGAGTGTGCTTATGGCTCTTCTGGTCTCTTGACAAAAGATTATTTTTGGAAGTAAAAACAGACATATTTGCCTCTTATTTCAAACATCCCTTCTATTGTTCCAAGTGAGCAGCCTCCCAGCACTAAACAAGCTATTAGGCCAATTAACAAGGATGTCCCATGAAACCATGACCTTCAGCCTCCAAACTAAGAAACCAAATCCTGTGAGTTTTTTCGTTGTACATAGGCAGCCTTAGCAGCTACTTTTTTCATTTTTATTGGTCATTGTTATAAATACATGTCAAATCACTTTTGCAAATTTAACATTTTTCATGTTGAAAATCTCTTATAATTTTTTACCTTGTATTATCTTTTTAAAAAAGATTTATTTATTTATTTTAATCATTTTATTAGGGGCTCGTACAACTCTTAACACAATCCATACATACATCAATTGTGTAAAGCGCAGTTGTACATGCATTGCCCTCATCATTCTCAAAACATTTCCTCTCCACTTCAGCCCCCGGCATTAGGTGCTCATTTTTCCCCTCCCTCCCCGCTCCCCCTTCCCTCATGAGCCCTTGATAATTTATAAATTGGTATTTTGTCATATCTTGCCCTGTCCGACGTCTCCCTTCACCCACTTTTCGGTTGTCCGTCCCCCAGGGAGGAGGTCACATATAGTTCCTTGTAATCGGTTCCCTCTTTCCTACCCATTCTCCCTCTACCCTCCCAGTATCACCACTCACACCACTGGTCCTGTAGGGCTCATCTGCCCTGGATTCCCTGTATTTCCAGTTCCTATCTGTACCAGTGTACATCCTCTGGCCTAGCCAGACTTGCAAGGTAGAATTCGTGTCATGATAGTGGGAGCAGGGAGGAAACATTTAGGAACTAGAGGAAAGTTGTATTTTTCATCGTTGCCTTGTATTATCTTATCCAGCACATTCTTGAATATTTTTGGCAACTTGAGCATTGCTGCGTCCTGTTTTTCTACTTACCTGTGTGCTACACAAGCGAAGTCTACATTTAAATTGATGGAATTAACCTCGAGGCATTAAAGCACTCACTATATGCTATCTATGCTTTGCTCGTCCTTCAGGTTTTCAAAACCCCCTAGGAATACTTTTCTGGAGTTAGACTCTATTCAAATCATCAGAAGCATTTCCATCTTGTAGATTGAGCTTCCTCCTTGCTGAAATGATTCATTTTATGCTATTTGCTCCTATAACTCTCCAAAATCCTATTATCTTTACTGATTGCTGGATGAAGCAGTCTTTCCTCACAAGCTGCTTTGCTGACTCCCTTCCCATTGTTATACCCTCTTCATGACCTTTATCCATAGATGAAAAGCCTTCCTCACCTTTTTTTGATTAGAATTTATTGTATGGCATGACTTCTTTTGCTTCAGGTGTTATTGGGAGTATAAGCAGTGTGGGTGTTACAATATGAGAAACTTGAACAAGTTGGTTTCAGATGAACACCTGATGCTTTTGTTAGGATGAAATGCTAAATAAGACCAGATGATAGGCCTGGTATGTAGGGAAGTACCAGTCTTACCGGTGGCATGCACAGTTCAGTTGTCATATATCATGAGAATTGAACATTGCCCAACTTTGTGCTAATAACGCCTGACACTGACTCCATTGTAGACCAGGCTACAGTCTTGCTATACAGCAGGGTTTTGAACAGTATATCATAAAACTGAATACCTAAAAATAACACCAGAACGTTATCTGATTGTATGTATGTAGTATTGTATATAGAACATATTACTAGTGATGAGTTGTAAGAAGAAAAACAACAACACTAAAAACCCACAGTAGTGCAGTTGGTCATAATTTATTTTTAGCAATTTATGCAAACAGGTGTTCTATCTCATGGTCTACCT